GCGCGCGCGTGCGCGCGCGTGTGTGTGATCCACGTGGTCACAGATTTGCGTAAATGCCTGTAGCACATTCCGAACGAGCGGTACGTGTCGCACGATGGCCACAAAAAAAAAATCACAAGAGGCAAATTAATTACAGTATGAATAAGAATTGAGAATTTCGAATCTAAATGAAGCAATCGTCGAAGAAGAGGAATTGATACCTTCCATGAAAATCTTGTTGATGAAAAATGAATGATTCGGAAAGAATAGTGGTTTAGATGAGTAAGTTAATCTTATCATAAATTCCTATTATAAATTAACGATGGCTGCAAAGAAATTAAATTATGTTTACGATTAACAATCTCAAAACGAAAAGATGGTTACGATAGTTACAATTCTAAGTTTCATCTGCGGTTTCGTAACAAAATATTTACGCAGATTTGACCTAAAACGAGTTTCACGAGAAGAATTTAACTTGTCCTCGTTTCGCCCTAAAAGTAATTTCGGCGCATGGACTGATACAAAATTGTTGACCCGTTTAGTAACATTCGATTTTAACGAGCGAGCATCAAATCGCATACACACATATATGTATATTAAGAATGCAAACTCGCCAGGGTCGTAACATTATCGTTTCCCGACGACGAAGCGCGAAACACATATGCATAGAACGTGGCAGGAACTTACTTTCACTGGCCTTCCGTATACACATTTGATGATTTCACATATACATAGAACGACTAGTCTGATCACGTGACGCTGCGCCTCGCTTGCAGGCTCGTGTCTGCATCAACGAGAAGCAGCAGGTGTCCAAAAGCAGAGGTGACCAACACACGGGCGAGAAGGAAAGAGAAAGAGCGAGAGAGAGAGAGAGAGAGAGAGAAAGAGAAAAAGAGACAGAAAGATGGTGCGTGTGTATGTTTGTATGTGTGTATGTATGTATCCATGTATCTGCGAGAGAGAGAGAGAGAGAGAGAGAGAGAGAGAAAGGAGGAAGAGGAGGAGACGAAGATGGAGAATGTACGTGCGCGAACGGTGTGAAACTGGTAAGCCTTGATCTTACATGACGTAATAAATCCTTACCGAATACGGGAGTTGTGTTAAATGCAGAATATCTCATGGACTCGTGAGGCGAGTTCCAAAGAACATGATCGTGGCAAAGATTTACAACCACGCGTAATTGATTTTAATGAATATTTCTCGCAGATTTGGTGATTCTCAAGGATATTCTCAAAAGTGAATGCATATATGTATATATATGTATATATGAAGTCAGAAAGAGAACTTCTTTTAGGATAAAGGAACAGTAATTATGCACGTACGAATTGTTTGTAACCGTGCGTATTTAATTAATTTCAATAAATGTTTCGTTTAGAACGCAAAAAGTCAAAAATAGAATCGTATAATAAATAATATATATTTTTAACATTCTCCTTCAAATAGATTTCTCAGTTCTTATTCACAGAGATAGAAAGGCAAAAAGAACGCTTGTTGTGTTTGTGTCTCAAAATTATATTATAGAATAGATGCTACAGAAAGTACTAGAAAAGTATTGCTTCCCTCCCTCTCGATAATTGCGATGTCTTATTTATAAAATAAAAATCTGTTCGTATTCACACGTTCGCTGTTATAAAGTAGGAAAGAAACGTTTTATAACGTAGCATTGTACGCGTTTGGGTGAATGCTTGAATCGCAACCAGAAGTGTCTGCATCATGTAATCATCTGAACCTTTCACACCCTATCTCCTTCATATACATGAACGAATCCCCACCGTCCACATCTTGCTTACCATTACATATATGAATATAACGTTACATGAGTTATTTTAGCAAGAAAATAAAACACAGCAATAATTTGAATGAGTAGGAAATATCGCGTAATATATATATATATATATATAATTTGAAAAATGTTTTAAATTGTCATTAACGTTAAAAATTATAGGCAGTCAAAATTATTGTCATACACAGAAAAACTAATGTGACA